AAATGTTTACACTATGAGGCTGTGATTAAGTGAACTTGAGAAAAGTAAGATAAGGTTTGCTCTTGCTGGGAACAAAAGGGAGTAACCAGTCTCAGCAAGAGAAGATAAGCAGATGTGAAGAGGCTTTCGGTTTTGACTAGTTCCTGAATTGTAGCTCGCTGTAGTAAGACGTGTCTGATGTATGTACTTAGTAAACTTAGTTTCTTTTGTAACTAAAAGCCTGCAGAGTCCTTATTTTGCAACCCAGTGTCTTCTGATCTAGCATTCCTTCCGCTGGGCATCGTCTATCTCTGACACTAATCAAGGTGGTCAGTTGAAACATTCACACCTAGCTCCAGGAGAAAAGAATAATAGAATCATAGAATCAAAGAGTTGGAAGAGACCTCATGGGCCATCCAGTCCAACCCCCTGCCAAGAAGCAGGAATATTGCATTCAAATCACCCCTGACAGATGGCCATCCAGCCTCTGTTTAAAAGCTTCCAAAGAAGGAGCCTCCACCACACGCTGGGGCAGAGAGTTCCACTGCTGAATGGCTCTCACAGTCAGGAAAGTTCTTCCTCATGTTCAGATGGAATCTCCTCTCTTGTAGTTTGAAGCCATTGTTCCGTGTCCTAGTCTCCAAGGAAGCAGAAGACAAGCTTGCTCCCTCCTCCCTGTGGCTTCCTCTCACATATTGATTCCATGTTGTCAACTGAGTCCTTTGTCCCACCCTGGTCATTCCACAGATATATAAACGCTTTTTCCTCACTACCTCTGAGGATGCTTGTGAAACGTCAGGAGAGAATGCCTCTAGAACATGGCCATATAGCCCGAAAAAAACCTACAACAACCCAGAAGAGGTTTCTGGTCATGATCCCCCATCATATGATGGAGTCAAGAACTGGCAGTGTCCATTCCAATGTGGTTGGACTTCGGTGCAAACAGCTCCAATCCAGGGCGACCCCATTCTGCTATTGATGAACACACCATCCAGCAAGTGAAGGTCCCCATTTTGGGAAATTGCCGCGTAACCATTCTTCACCTAACCCAAAATGTCAAGATGGGCGTTGGGTCCGTGGAAAATATCACCCAAGACCATCTTCACATGCATAAGGTCTCCCCTCACTGGGTCCCCCGGCTGCTCACACCTTTCCAGAAGCAGGAAGGAGTCGAATGCTCTCAGCCTCCCTTGACAATGATGTGCCATAGAAACCAGGAGGACTTTTGTCAACAGATTGATCACACAGGAGGAAAGCTGGATCTATCACTACAATGCTGAGACTCAAATCCAGTTGATAACATGAAAGCTTCCTGAGTCACCCTCTCCAAAGAAGGCATGTGCCCAACTCTTGGCAGGCAAGGTCATGCTCACAGTATGTTATGTATGTGTTTTCAATGTGCTTCTATGTATTGCCAATATGGATGCCACTGTGAATTAGAATTGCTGTGCAGAATGTTTACACTTTGAGGCTGTGATTAAGTGAACTTGAGAAAAGTAAGATAAGGTTTGCTCTTGCTGGGAACAGAAGGGAGTAACCAGTCTCAGCAAGAGAAGATAAGCAGATGTGAAGAGGCTTTTTTTTAACTAGTTCCTGAATTGTAGCTCGCTGTAGTAAGACGTGTCTGTTGAATGTGCTTAGTAAACTTAGTTTTCTTTTGTAACTCAAAGCCTGCAGAGTCCTTATTTTGCAACACAGTGTCTGCTGATCTAGCAATCCTTCTGCTGTGCACCGCCAAACTCTGACAGCATTGACCTTGAGTTTTGGAGTTGTAGTTCATCTGCATCCAGAGAGCACTGTGGACTTGAACAATGATGGATCAGAACCAAACCTGGTACAAATACTCAATATGCCCAAATGTGAATACTGGTGGAGTTTGGGGAAAATAGATCTTGACATTTGGGAGTTGTAGTTGACCTACAATCAAAGAACACCAACAACAGAATTGTGCCAAACTTCCCACACAGAAACCCCATGACCAACAGAAAATACTGTGTTTTCTGATGGTCTTCAGCGACCCCTCTGACACCCCCTGGTGACCCCTCCAGGGGTCCCGACCCCCAGGTTGAGAAACACTGCACTAGTGATACCAACTTCCCCTGTGAAAATTCTCCAGAAGAGCCTTGTAACCTTACTTTCCGGATAACCTTTGCATTTTCTGAAGGAGAGGAATGGAAAGAGAAAGCGAAGCTCTCTGTCTCCAAGCCCCCAAATGCATGAGCACGCACCCCGCTCACCATTTCTCAGGTCTCCAACTCCCAGTCAGTCCCACTAAATCAAAAGAATCAAGAAAATTAAGGAAAATCAAAAAGATTCAACTGTGATGCCGAATAGGGGAGGAGGAGCTGTAATCAACTGCCATGTGGCCCCTTTTCGGATGGAAATCCGTAACAGCTGGGACCTTGCCATTTCGAGCACCTGAATAAAATGGATAAGTCGAATGGCCGAAGGAATCAGCTAAAAACCGATCAGTGCACATATCTAATTTATAGTTTGGCGTGAGATCCTTCCTATAGGGAGATCTAGTGAGCATTGTTGAGTTTGTCAGGATTAATTTAGTTATGTGTGTGTTTTTCAATGTGCTTCTATGTATTGCCAAGATGGATGCGACTGTGAATTGAAAATGCTACGCAGAAATGTTTACACTTTGAGGCTGTGATTAAGTGAACTTGAGAAAAGTAAGATAAGGATGTGTTCTTGCTGGGAACAGAAGGGAGTTGCCAGTCTCAGCAAGAGAAGATAAGCAGATGTGAAGAGGCTTTCGGTTTTGACTAGTTCTTTGTTGTTCTTCCTGAATTGTAGCTCGCTGTAGTAAGACGTGTCTGATGTATGTATTTAGTAAACTTAGTTTCTTTTATTGTCGAAGGCTTTCATGGCTGGAATCACTAGGTTCTTGTGGGTTTTTTCGGGCTATAGGGCCATGTTCTAGAGGCATTTCTCCTGACGTTTGGCCTGCATCTATGGTAAGCATCCTCAGAGGTAGTGAGGTCTGTTGGAGTTAGGACAGTGGGTTTATATTTCTGTGGAATGGCTGGGGTGGGGCAAAGAGCTCTTCTCTGCTAGAGCTAGGTGTGAATGTTTCAACTGACCACCTTCATTAGCATTTGAAGGCCTGCTGAGCCTGGGAAAATCTTTTGTTGAGAGGTGTTAAGATGTGCCTGGTTGTTTCCTCTCTGCTGTTTTGCTGTTGTAATTTTAGAGTTTTTTAATACTGGTAGCCAGATTTTGTTCATTTTCATGGTCCTTCTTCCTTTCTGTTGAAATTGTCCACATGCTTGTGGATTTCAATGGCTTCTCTGTGTAGTCTGACATGGTGGTTGTTGGTGTGGTCCAGCATTTCTGTGTTCTCCAATAATATGCTGTGTCCAGGTTGGTTCATCAGGTGCTCTGCTATGGCTGACTTCTCTGGTTGAAGTAGTCTGCAGTGCCTTTCATGTTCCTTGATTCGTGTCTGGGCTGCTGCGTTTGGTGGTCCCTATGTAGACTTGTCCACAGCTGCATGGTATACGGTAGACTCCTGCAGAGGTGAGAGGATCCCTCTTGTCCTTTGCTGAACGTAGCATTTGTTGGATTTTCTTGGTGGGTCTGTAGATTGTTTGTATGTTGTGTTTCCTCATCAGCTTCCCTCTGGTCAGTGGTTCCCTTGATGTCTGGCAAGAACACTTTTCCTCTGGGTGGATCTTCATCTTTACTCTCGTGGCTTGTTCTTGGTCTTGCAAACACAACATACAAACCACCTACAGACCCACCAAGAAAATCCAACAAATGCTATGTTCAGCAAAGGACAAGAGGGATCCTCTCACTTCTGCAGGAGTCTACCGTATACCATGCAGCTGTGGACAAGTCTACATAGGGACCACCAAACGCAGCATTGCCCAAACACGAATCAAGGAACATGAAAGGCACTGCAGACTACTTCAACCAGAGAAGTCAGCCATAGCAGAGCACCTGATGAACCAACCTGGACACAGCATATTATTTGAGAACACAGAAATGCTGGACCACTCTAACAACCACCATGTCAGACTACACAGAGAAGCCATTGAAATCCACAAGAAGCATGTGGACAATTTCAACAGAAAGGAGGAAACCATGAAAATGAACAAAATCTGGCTACCAGTATTAAAAAACTCTAAAATTACAACAGCAAAACAGCAGAGAGGAAACAACCAGGCACATCTTAACACCTCTCAACAAAAGATTTTCCCAGGCTCAGCCAGGCCTTCAAATGCTAATGAAGGTGGTCAGTTTAAACATTCACACCTAGCTCCAGCAGAGAAGAGCTCTTTGCCCCACCCCAGCCATTCCACAGATATATAAACCCATTGTCCTAATTCCAACAGACCTCACTACCTCTGAGGATGCTTGCCATAGATGCAGGCGAAACGTCAGGAGAAACGCCTCTAGAACATGGCCCTATAGCCCGAAAAAACCCACAAGAACCTAGTTTCTTTTGTAACTCAAAGCCTGCAGAGTCCTTATTTTGCAACTCAGTGTCTGCTTGATCTAGCATTCTTTCCAAGGCATCCTGAGGGTACCTTGAGAGTGTACTAGATCTCCTTCAGAAAGAATACAACTACAAATACAGCACTTCATAGGTCAGTAAATTGGTATCAAACTGATAGAACGATGTCGTGGAGATACACTACGGGCTGCATTCTATTGTTCCTCCCATTGAGTCAACAGCTTTTGATTGTCGAAGGCTTTCATGGCTGGAATCACTAGGTTCTTGTGGATTTTTTCGGGCTATAGAGCCATGTTCTAGAGGCATTTCTCCTGACGTTTTGCGTGCATCTATGGCAAGCATCCTCAGAGGTAGTGAGGTCTCTGAGGATGCTTGCCATAGATGCAGGCGAAACGTCAGGAGAAATGCCTCTAGAACATGGCCCTATAGCCCGAAAAAACCCACAAGAACCTAGCTTCTGATCTGTTTCTGGTCCGAGTTCAAAATAGCTCCGGTCTGGCACATCCGAAGGACCCTATTCTTCCATATGAGTCTGTTTATGTTTCGAGATCTCCTCTTTTTGTGTCAATGAGCTTTTGGAGAGAGATTGCTTAGGGGAAATGGGCTTTGCATAATGTTTTGTGTCGTTCGTATAGTCTCTTTTTCTTGGTCATGCTTTTAACTTTTTTCAATTTTACTGATATATATATATATATATTCTTATATATATTCTTTAAAATAATTTCATATTTTATGGCTTGCATTTCACTTAGGACTTAGGTCTCAACAGCCTTATATGTGCGCAACATGGAATTGAATAGTTTTCACCATCGCCTAATGATGCGATGGAGTTAAGAGTATTGGTTATGCAACGGCGGAGTGACCATGCACCAAGACACGACTTTAACTTCCGTGGATCGATGCTATGGGATCCTGGGAGATGTAGTTTAGTGAGGCCCCAGCACTCTTTGGTAGGGAAGGCTAACGACCTTCTGAAACGGCAACTCTCAGGTTTCCATAACATTCAGCCAGGGCAGTGACAGTGGTGTCAAACCGCATTAATTCTACAGTGTAGATGCAGCCCCTTGCTCCAATAGTGAATAAAAGGGCAAGATAGCAACAATAACAATAGGATTTCCCTATATGTTGGCCTTTTCCTCAACCATTGATTCAGTGGGTCTACTTGAGGAAGGACAAACCCACTTCCCTCAAGCTACCATAAAACTCCATGTACAATGGACCCCAAGGCTGTGTCCCTGGCTTGGGTTTTGCTTTCCTAGCATTGTTCAAAGTGGTTTTTACACTCAGGAGGAGAGAAGGGAAATCAGCTCACCCCCTTAAAAAGTTTTTTCAAAAAGACAAGAGTCACTAATGCACACTTGCCCACAGAGAGGCCACTTGGGAATAGGTTCCACGATGCAAAATGGCACAAAAGCAAAGCTCCTGAACGCAAGAGGCTGCGGCGGGTGCGGCCCACGACAGCAAGGTTGGCCAACCCAACACGCACACACACACGCACACACCTGGCCAGGGGAAAGGGGCCGGAGGGAGGTTTGGGGGGCTCCTCTGCGCCCTCTCTCAATCCGACCACTCGTTCTCGTCCAGCTCTGAGTCGTCGTCTGACTCGCTGTACTCCACGGCAATCCGGCGGGAGAGGATCGTGGCCACGTCGTTGCCCACCGGCTCCTTCTTTGCCTCCTGCTCCCATTGCTCCTGGACTTTCCGGAGTTGGATTCCTGCATTTGCAAAGAAAGAAAAGGCTTTAGTCTCCTCTCTGCATCAATAGGAGCCTAGTGTCTAGATCTAGGGAAGTCATGCTCCCCATGCTCTATTCTGCTTTGGTTATACCACACCTGGAATATTGTGTCCAATTCTGGGCACCACAATTCAAGAGAGATATTGACAAGCTGGAATGTGTCCAGAGGAGGGCAACTAAAATGATCAAGGGTCTGGAGTACAAGCCCTATGAGGAGCGGCTTAAGGAGCTGGGCATGTTTAGCTTGAAGAAGAGAAGGCTGAGAGGAGATATGATAGCCATGTATAAATATGTGAGAGGAAGCCACAGGGAGGAGGGAGCAAGCTTGTTTTCTGCTTCCTTGGAGACTAGGACGCATGGAACAATGGCTTCAAACTACAAGAGAGGAGATTCCATCTGAACATGAGGAAGAACTTCCTGACTGTGAGAGCCGTTCAGCAGTGGAACTCTCTGCCCCAGAGTGTGGTGGAGGCTCCTTCTTTGGAAGCTTTTAAAGAGGCTGGATGGCCATCTGTCAGGGGTGATTTGAATGCAATATTCCTGCTTCTTGGCAGGGGGTTGGACTGGATGGCCCATGAGGTCTCTTCCAACTCCTTGATTCTATGATTCTATGATTCTCTGGTGAAGTAGGAGGATAATACTGGGCCTTGGGTTCCCCCAGATCTGATGGAAACATGATGATTATTACAAAGTACAGGCAGTCCCTGAGTTACAAACAAATGGCTGAATCTGCCACCTCCTCCAAGATGAACTGAACCACCTCAACTGGGCTCTCCAGGCCAATGGAGACTCCACCTCAGACATCAGAAGAGCTGCAAGACCAAGAACAAGTCACGAGAGTCAAGACGTAGATCCACCCAGAGGAAAAGTGTTCCTGCCATACATCAAGGGAACCACTGACCGCAGAGGGAAGCTGATGAGGAAACACAACATACAAACACTCTACAAACCCACCAAGAAAATCCAACAAATGCTACGTTCAGCAAAGGACAAGAGGGATCCTCTCACCTCTGCAGGAGTCTACCGGATACCATGCAGCTGTGAACAAGTCTCCAGAGGGACCCCCAAACGCAGCATTGCCCAAACAAGAATCAAGGAACAGGAAATGCACTGCAGACTACTTCAACCAGAGAAGTCAGCCATAGCAAAGCACCTGATGAACCAGCCTGGACACAGCATATTATTTGAGAACACAGAAATGCTGGACCACACCAACAACCACCATGTCAGACGACACAGAGAAGCCATTGAAATCCACAAGCATGTGGACAATTTCAACAGAAAGGAAGAGACCATGAAAATGAACAAAATCTGGCTACCAGTATTAAAAAACTCTAAAATTATAACAGCAAAACAACAGAGAGGAAACAACCAGGCACAGATTAACACCTCCCAGCAAGAGATTTTCCCAGGCTCAGGCAGGCCTTCAAATGCTAATGAAGGTGATCAGCTGAAACATTCACACCTAACTGCAGCAGGGAAGAGCTCCTTGCCCCCCCCCAGCCATTCCACAGATATATAAACCCATTGTCCTAATTCCAACAGACCTCACTACCTCTGAGGATGCTTGCCATAGATGCAGGCGAAACGTCAGGAGAAATGCCTCTAGAACATGGCTCTATAGCCCGAAAAAACCCACAAGAACCAAATGGCTAATAGTTAGGAAGGGCAGTGAGACAACAGGAAGTCAGAGGAATCTACCCCAGGAAGGTAAATTCACTCCTGAAAGAGTGGTCATACGGAAAAGGTGTCTCAGCTGAAGTTTTATCCCCAATCCTTGTTTCCACAACAAGCCACATTTTTCAAATCCCTATGATCACAGGGACAGAAAGTGAGGTGAAATCTTCTGAAGAGGGGCACAGGCAGCGTGTTGGGTTGCCCAACCTTGCTGTCGGCAATAGAAGCTGCAAAGAAATCTTTCTTTGCAGCTAATATCTCTCTTCAATTGTGGTGGCCAGAATTGGACACAATATTCCAGGTGTGGTCTAACCAAAGCAGAATAGAGTATGGGGAGCATGACTTCCCTAGATCTAGACTCTAGGCTCCTCTTGATACAGGCCAACATCCCATTGGCTTTTTTTGCCGCCACATCACATTCCTGGCTCATGTTTAACTTGTTGTCCACGAGGACTCCAAGATCTTTTTCACACGTACTGCTCTCGTACTGCGAAAAAGCACTGTATATAATACTAATATTGTGCTATGCTAATAATATAGTATATAGTATGTACATATAACTTGTACGCCACCCTGAGTCCTCGTCAGGGTGAGAAGGGCGACATATAAATGCCACAAAAAAATAATAATATTGTGCCTACAAAGGAACCCACACAACCACTGAGAGTAATAAAGAAGCATTATTTGCAAATGTAAGTGATGTTGCTGGAGACACTCACCTCTCCGGATGGCGGCCAAGAGGTCACTCCTGGCGTCGCTTATGGGGAGGAGTGCGCCCTGGCCCTTGCGGGGCTCCACGCTTGCGGCCGGAGGGGAGGCAGAGTGGGCAGGTGAGGCGATCACGGTGGGGGGGCCAGGTGGCGGTGGTGGTGGGGCCACGGGGGGGCCCATGGTGCCAGTCTGCGGGGGAGAGGCGGAGTAGGGGCAAGGGGGAGCCGGGGGTGGGGAGGGGGCGTAGGAGGGGTGGCCGGCAGCTGAGGATGATGCCACGCTGATGGCCGGAGGGGCGGCGATGGGGCTGTCGAAGGCGGTTTGGGCCGAAGGAATGACCGGGGGAGGCGGTGGAGGGGCCGGGGGCACAAAGTATTCTGCCATCGGTACCTGCTGTGGGCTGAAAAAGGGAGAAAAAAGGGGAAAGGAGACATTGCAAACAATGGAGGCAGGTGCAACAAAAGGAGAACAGGTGCCCCCCAATTTCTGACATCCAACACTTTCCCAGCTTTTTAACGTTATACCCAGAACCTACCTATTTGGGTTGGGCACTCTTATGGCATACTTATACAACACAACTACGGCCAACCCATCGTGCCATTGGGGGTTCCTAGGTGTGTTAACTAAGCAACTAACGTATCATACTAGTGATGGATAATGTGCTGAATCTTCACAAAGAAATACACTGTGATCTTATAAAGACTTCCCCTGCCCCAATCTTGACTTTTGAAGGAATAGAAACAAGGAAACTGACATGCCACCCTTTCCAAAGAGCTGAAGATGGTGCAAATTCCGCCCATAGACAATGACATCTATGCCAAAGGGGATCCGGAACTGCATGGATGAGCAGGATTTGTGTCTTTCGTTCATTGAGAGGGGATTCATTGATTGGTAGTCATGGGCCTGGTATCTGTATCATTTGTTTGATTCATGTTTTCATTTCGTTCTGTCCATTCGGATGGCACGGAACGGGAAGGCCCCTCCAGGAATGAAAACAAACTCGATACGAAACGCACGCGGGAGCGGGTACTGGCTCCAAGCCTGCTTTTTGGATCGATTGCCATGCCCGAGCATGCCAGGGCCTGAACTGAGCACTGAGTAAGAAGTGCTGCTAACTTGGTGCTTGGGTGCAGACCCGGGCACTTTGGGCCTATGTATCTGGACCCCCCAGGGCCTGCAGCCTAGCGCTTTTTTTTTTGTCGTATCAGGAGCGACTTGAGAAACTGCAAGTCGCTTCTGGTGTGAAAGAATTGACCATTTCAAGGACATTGCCCAGGGACGCGATGTTTTATCATCCTTGTGGAACGCTTCTCTCATGTCCCCGCATGAGGAGCTGGAGCTGATAGAGGGAGCTCATCCCACTCTCCCCAGATTCAAACCTATGACCTGTCGGTCTTCAGTCCTGCCAGCACAGGGGTTTAGTCCACTGTGCCACCGGGGACTCCCATTGCTTGATTGGTGCTCAGGTGCAGGCCCTGGCAGGCCTGGGCATGGCAATCGATCCAAAAAGCAAACTTGGAGCTGGTTGTTGTGGTTCAGCAGCAACAGCATGATGGGACTGAGAGTGCAGATGACATGATGGGAATGGGAATACAGATGCAGGTGTGGGATTTCAGATTTCTCAGTTTTCTCAGCCACAGTCTGTAGCTAGAGAGAAACCATTGTTATCACAGGAACGGAATGTGGCTGATAAAACAGCTAGTGAAGGTCAGACTGTGCCGCAGGTGTTAAGAAGGAGCTTACGAATTGCGGCCAAGTCTTGAGCCATCCGTTGGTGGGAAAACTGCTTGTTAGCTGTCTGTTTACTGTTCAATGTTTTGATGTTTTACCTATAAGTAAACTGCCTGGGAACTGATTCGGCGTCAGTTTCAACGTTGCAAAAATGGCTCGCGTTGTCTCCTGCTCTGGGGCTTGGGCCTTGGGGAAGAAAGCCTGCTTCATGTAACCTCATGCTATTTCCTGGATTTTATGCTGCTTCTTGCTTCAAGTTTCCTGCTTTGACTCAAAGGGAATCTATTGGATTTTTACCTTGTACTATTGACTTTTTACTGCTTATATTCTGATTTGTTTGAAACCTCACAATAAACTTCTTTCTTCATAAGTTTGGCTGGTTTGTCAGAGAGCAAGGTGAATTTTAGCCTGAGATACAACATTAGGATTCTATTTGCCTGCCTTTTGTGTCGACTTTATTTTCGTTCCAGGAGGGGCCTTCCCGTTCCGTGCCATCCAAATGGACAGAACGAAATGAAAACATGAATCAAACAACTTGGCACTCGGGTGCAGCCACTTGTAGGCCAGAAAGCTTTGGTTCTACATGCCCGGGCCTACCAGGGCATGCACCCGAGCGCCAAGTAAGGAGTGCTCGGGTGCAGGCCCTGGCAGGTCTGGGCATGGCAATCGATCCAAAAGAGCAAACTTGGAGCTGGTACCCTCTCCCGCCTGCCTTTCGTATCGAGTTTATTTTCGTTCCAGGAGGGGCCTTCCCGTTCCGTGCCATCCGAATGGACAGAACGAAATGAAAACATGAATCAAACAACTTGACACTCGGGTGCAGCCACTTGTAGGCCAGAAAGCTTGGGTTCTACACGCCCGGGCCTACCAGGGCATGCACCCGAGCGCCAAGTAAGGAGTGCTCGGGTGCAGGCCCTGGCAGGTCTGGGCATGGCAATCGATCCAAAAAGCAAACTTGGAGCTGGTACCCTCTCCCGCCTGCCTTTCGTGTCGAGTTTATTTTCGTTCCAGGAGGGGCCTTCCCGTTCCATGCCATCTGAATGGACAGAACAAAATGTAAACAACTTGGCACTCGGGTGCAGCCCCTTGTAGGTCAGGGAGCTTTGGGCCTACATGCCTGAGCCTACCAGGGCATGCACCCGAGCTCCAAGTAAGGAGCGTTTGGGTGCAGGCCCTGGTAGACCTAGACACTTTGAGCCTATGATTTGGGTTTTGGAGCAAGGCCACTGGCAGCAAATATGATGGGTCTTCAGCCCAGCCAGGGAGCCCTTCAGGGAGCCCTAGATGAAGGTTAGGCAAAACCTGTCCAAAATGCACACTGCGAAGGGGAGTCTGGTTGGGAGCCCCCCTTTTAATAATGGGCCAAAAAAACCCCAGAAACAAAACGAAAAAAAAAAAATAAAAAAAAGAAAAAAACAAAAAAAAAAAAAAAAAAAAAAAAAAAAAAAAAAAAAAAAAAAAAAACAAAAAAACAAAAAAAAACAAAAAAACAAAAAAAAAATTAAAAAAAAAAAAATAAAAAAAAAAACAAAAAAAAAAAAAAAAGAGATAAAAAAAACAAAAAGAAAAAAAAAAAAAAAAAAAAAAAAAAAAAAAAAAAAAAAAAAAGAAAAAAAAAGAAAAAAAAAAAAGAAAACTAAAAAAAAAAAAAAAATAATGGGCCAAAAAAACCCCAGAAACAAATATCTACCTTTTCAATTTTGGCGGGGTCAGTAGAAATGGATCTGGGACCCCACCAATCCAGCCAGGACATGAAACGAATCAAGGTTTACCCCGAATACACATGACTACTATTTGGGACTGATTTGTCACCGGGATGGTAAAGATTAGGAACAACTACAGCAGAACTTAATAAACGGAAGTGGAGCTAAATGGGTCGGCTTTTTGGAGAGGAGGGTGGAAATGTTTCTCGCTCAGTCTACTTGTCCGAAGTCCACCCACCCAAAATTCAAGCGTGTTCGGTCCAGTTTCAACCTGACACCAGTGCTGCTTTCCAAGGTTGGGGAGATGGATGCTGAGTTTCCACAGGGCAAACCATGGTGTGTGTTTACATCCAGGGAGAAAGGAACGGGGTGAACAACGGTGAAGGTTCAGCCAAGTGGCTCTAATAGGACCCCAAGGCCACTCACTCGCCCTGAGTTAGGGACCTTCCTATGCGATCATCCTATAATCAGTTGACTTGCCAGAATGAAACTTGTCACT